GAATGAGACGAGAGAAATCCAGAAAAGAAGAAAAGGTAACATTAAGAGGAATAACATTAATTAATGGAGCATGTTCTAAAGATATAATAAGCACAGTTTAAGAATACAATAATTTGTAAAATAAGGAATGAACGTAAAGTTGCAAAGTGGAAAGCGGTTATTTCAACTATATCTTCTTGGGGAGAATGTTAAAAATAAATTTGAACTTGGGTTGTACAAATATATGTATATGTGTGTGAGTGTTTGTTCTATATAAAAATGTTTGTACCATTTATCATTGCCTCCATAATTTGCATGAATACTTTTGAACATAGAGAAAGAAATAAGGTGGACCTAAAATGATAGCCTAAACTTGGTTATACCTCAAAATGTATTATATTGGTATCCCCCAATGTAGGAAACTTTAATAATATAGAAATGTATATCCATTACAAAGAGCGTTGGTTTTCAACACTAGAATGAAAACTTCATGGATATAAATGTTATCGTAAGTCAGTACTTAAAAATAAACAACACATTAACTAAAACAATTTAAAAAAAATTCAGTCTATACTGTCGGCCGAAATTGGATTATGAAACGGAAGGAGACGAAATTGCTATATTTATATTCCGTGACGCCCATCCCTGACAATTTTTTTGCTTTTTAAGAATCGTTTCTACCCTCATGCTACAGCATCACGCTGCTTAGAAAGTTCCACTAAAAAAGCATTTCGTTTCTGGCTATTGGGTAATCGTTCCGATTTGCATTCACTTCGTATCATCCGAGGATTTTACTTATATATTACAAGAGATTTTCGGGTTAAGGCGAAAATTTGCGAACTGTAGAAGGGGAAGGGATACATCTCCAGAACAGACCCCTGCAGAAGCTTATACTAATACCAGAACAAGCGGTTTTGTGGAGCCTGTGGCTTGCGAGCAGTGAAGAACGAAAACGTTTTTTTCGCAGCTTAAAGCAGAGCGTTTACGAAGATGTGGATATTCGTTTGCATTAATGATGAAAAACTTTTAAGTTAATTGCCACGGGAGCTCTGAGATAAGGAAAACAATTATCTTGCCAAGGTATTGATAATGGCCTCAAACACAGTGGTGCCAAAGAGCACTTTTCATGTACTAAACGCAGGAACATCTCAAGAACGAAATGAAGTTACTAGCCACAATAGCATTGTCAAATCATTTTGTTCTTGTGATATTTCTGTATTCGGAACCATATTTTGGAACTTTAAACTAAATTAAAAAGTGTAAAGTTTTCAACTGCATTTCGCATCAATGTTTAGAAGTAAAATGTACTGATAAAGGCTTCTTGGTAAGAGAAAATAAGGTATGCACCGTTTAATGAATTGATTACCTGTTAACTCGTGTTTGAAAATCTTAAAGATACAAATTATGAGTAGGCTAAATAGCTAGGTCGAATTCAGCTGATATCTTCAGAACAATTCTAGCAGCGGGTTTCTCTGTTCGGTAGTTTTCTGTGGTTTCTATGGTCAACAACTGGCGAATGCCGGAGCAGTACCCTAACGAATGGGCCGCGGATTGCTCGCGATCTTTCCTTCTTCCTTGACCCGTCCTCACTCCTTACTTACACACACTCACACTTACATGCATTACACTATCACACATTCTGAGAGATTAGAGCTTGTCCCGGCTGGGACGGTGCCCTGCTGGTGGGAGAAATCTCATTGGGAAAAACCCAGCTTGCGCACGAGTAGTTCAGCCCCGGATCCCGCAAAGGATTATCGTCATTTCCCGCCATTAAAGCATGAACTCCACTTACGGGACTGTTAGCATATTGACCGCCAAATTACTTCAAATTTGGCGCCTTGTTTTTTAATAGGGCACTTTTGACGTTCTTTGAAGGTGTTTCAGAGGAAAGGATCCTAATAAAATACGTGTAATAAAAAACTATTTACAAAGTAGAAAAGTTACAGATTTTGTCTGTTATACCACAAAGTATCCTTCGTGAAGGAAAGAATGTACCGCCGCGATAACATGTAGAACGATAATATGAGCTACTGAACCTCTAACATGACTTTAAAAAACGTTCATTGATAGTGAAGTTACATCTATGTTTGTACACGAAAAAAAAACAACCGGAAGTTTCTCGTCTTAAGAGGCGCGCTCATGCCGGTCGGTTCCAGAGTTACCAGATTGGGGGATCTTGTACCCGAAATGGGGAACTTTTTTCGTTGTGGGAAACAATTGGGAACATAAATGTACCGGGAATCATTTGGGGATTTTATAAGGAAACTATTTTCATGCAGAGTTGAAATAGAAATATTGTTCGCTGAATTATTAAGAATAAAAATTAAACAATACACGCTATTCTCTGTCGTTTTTATGTATGAAAATGATAAAAATAAACGTCAGGCATAGTGCAAGAAAAAACGCCAGGAAAACGCAGATGTCGGGTTTCGAGCAGCTCAATGGACGACGATTGGTTGGTTTGAATTATTTGACTTTAAGGGGATAGCAATGCCCTCGATGGCTTGTTGGTTAGCGCACTCGCTTTCCGCGGGTTCGATTCCCGACCGAGGCAAATTATAACTGCGCTTTCTTCACAAATGTTCTAGTATCTACTGCTGTGTGACGATGCGAAAGCCCATCCTAACGTTATAAAGAACAGTGTATATGGTGCAGGCATGTCTTCGTGCTAACCACACGGACCCTTTAACGCCATGACCGAGAGACTGGGACACCCTTGGCCTGGCCGAAACAAGAAAAAAAGGGACAGCCAATGGAAACGTCAGGGACAGCTCATGTTGTCGGTCTATAATTTAGAGAATATTTCTCGTTCAAAGTAGGGAAATTTCGTTTCAATGTAGAGGTTACTTGGGGAAATCCATTTGTCGTCGTGCGCAAAGAGCTCGCAGCACATCTGGCAACCCTGCACCGGTCTCGCCCCGGGACAGAGCCCAACCGCTGGCCGAGCAGCGCGCAGAAGGCACGTACGAACTTTGTTATGGGGAACTGTAATGGTGTTTTGCGGCCTTTAATGTCGCGCCTTTGGTGACCTCGCCGCCTGCTTCGTGCAGAATGCACCGCGCGCGGCCGAGACATCAGCCCCTCTGTTGGCGCGGTTTCACTTGCCTCGGAGGGCACGTAGGGCGGGAAGTCTGATTGTTCGGTTGGTTGACATAAGTAATTTCAGGCGCGTCAACTGCTAAGAATATTGATCCAGTAAGCCTAGTGCATGCTTTAATCAGGACGAGATCTCCCTCCGCTGGAATGTGAGATCCAGCAGCGACCCACATAATGTCTTGCGTTCATTTCCCCAACATCTCCGTCCATCGGAGCAATGCTCCAGCCACGAAGTTCGAAGCTCATCACCAATCAATCAGCCAATCAATCAACCAACCAATCAACCAACCAATCAATCAACCAACCAATCAACCAACCAATCAACCAATCAATCAACCAATCAATCAACCAATCAATCAACCAATCATTCAATTAATCAATCATCCAACCAACCAATCAATCAACCAATAAATTAATCAACAAATCAATCAACCAATCAATCAAAAATCGGTCCACGGCCCCGAGGTTGGGACGAATTTTTTCTCAGTTCCCGGAGTCATTTCCACGGCGAAATTGAAACACAAGTCAAACGATTTTGGGAAGCTGGGGTTCACTATTCTACAACTTAAATGTAATGTTCCTTTAAGGTTACGGATTGGAGGAATACGGGGACACTCGTGCAATCGAGGGCTTCAATACAAAAAAATGCAACGAAGCCCCTGATAGGATGACAGTGTTCCTCTCCCTTTCTAGCTCGTGTCCTTAAAGGGACACTACATTTAAATCGGCAAACGACCACGGGAGTTTTGCTTACTTTTCCACTCGTAAAATGAAAACCAATAGTGTTTAACTAATTATAAAAATGCCCCAATCAGGGCGGTGTATTTAAAAAAGTTTATCGCTTTTTCTATCCGATTTTTCTTACAGCTTCTTCATACTGGCCAATTTTAAACTGTGACTCATCTATCTTAGGAGGCTTATAATTGTAAATTCTAATGATTTTACAATTATTATTACATTAATGACCTTGTTTCGGGACTGTTTTGAATTGACAACCCTTGAATTTTTCCTGAGAACGATGCAATGTAATCACAGTTTCTTTGGGTTGTGAATTAACGTTCGACCAGAGCAAATGTTTCTCGTTCGACTAATGTTAGGTCTTGAAGAATCGTGGACACCATAGCTACACCAAAAATGTAAGAATTTCGTAATGAGTATCATCATGCAATAGGTTGCAACTAGTGATGTGACATCGACATGTTACCAGACATCGATGTTCAAAATTAAAACATCGATACATCGGCCAAAACCCAACGATTTTTTTAAACCTCGATGTATTAAAGTTGGTTTAGTAACCTCTAAATTCATACGCAATAAAATTTAATTTGACAATGGCCTTGCTTACTAAGTTGTTATTGAAGTTGAACAGAAAACAAAGTTAGACCTCTTTCCATGTGCAAAATAAAGGAGAGACGTAAGCAATCCCCAGGCCATGAATATAATTTCGACGTAGGGATGGTAGTCTGCTCGATGAAGATAAGAAAGCGCGTTCATTTTGAGCGAATACATACAAAATATTGATACCATCAGTAAGTGTTTCATATTTTAACTTTTACAAACTTGTGATTATGGGCATCTTTCACCCTCGAAAAAAAACCCATCGAAACCGTAAAAACATCGAACTCAAACATCAATGTTGAAAAAACATCGCTTTCAATACATCGATGTTAAAAACATCGCTTTCAATACATCGATGTTAAAAACATCGCTTTCAATACATCGATGTTAAAACACATCGCTTTCAATACATCGATGTTAAAACACATCGCTTTCAATACATCGATGTTAAAAACATCGCTTTCAATGCATCGATGTTTAAAAAATCGACATTTTTATAGAAACGTCGGTGTTTTGAAAACATCGCCATCCCTAGTTGCCCCCATCCAATGGCACGGGCGTGCACCAGCAGCAGGCGCGGGCGCTACCTTGCCGGAAGGGGCGGTCGTCGCAGAGGCGGTGCAGCGCGCGGCGGGCACCGGCCGACAGGGCGTTGAGGGCCTCGCGCGCGCCGTCGTCGCCGCAGCCGCCCACGAACTCGTCGAAGCAGCGGATGCGCGCCTTGAACGACCTGCAACACACGCGCGCTCCAGCTACATACGTCGCCCTCTCGCGCTGCCCCGAGGACAACTCCTCCAGAGGGCACACCAGCGCTATCTTTCCTTCCTCTTCCTTGTCAGCCGAAACAAACATCAACAAGATCCACATTTTTCGAACGAGATTTCTACGCACCACCACAAAAGCTGTCTTGTACATTCCGAATGCGCTGTTACATAATGAACTTGGCATTACTCCAATCCCCGTCTATTTCTCCCTCGTATCATGAAAATTCTATTCCAAAATATTAAAGATCCCTTCAGCTATTCATTTTCACATCGGTAAGCAAAATACTCACCGCAAGAGGTTGAAAAGAAAGATACGGAGAGATATTCTTCATGTCTTCCGGGCTGATGGGCCGTGGTCCAATTGGCTCTGAGATGCCAAATGTTTCGCCTACGACTGCGGTGGGCATCTTCAGTGGCGAGGTCTCGGGCGAAGTGTCCGGGACGGTGGCTGCGGTCAGTCTGCGGTTGGACCACGGCCCATCAGCCCGGAAGACATGAAGAATATTGACTCCGGCCGTGAAAGCCTACAATGCTGTAGATACGGAGAGAGTTTTTCGATCCCTCATAGACATAAACCGAGGAGCCTTTTTTCATTATTAACTATATATATATATATATAACCTCTGTATTGTATTATATCTAACACTTAACGACTGCTTATAATGTCACAAGATTCTTGTATACAAATTATATTAATGTGCTTTTTTAATGCAGCTGCTGAGGGCCAATGCCCAAGCTAGAATAAATAAAAAAATAATAAAAAGTATTTTCCTTGTTCTATCGTCACCCATTACCATCACATATATTTTATGCCCTACACTACCACACTTATCGGAAGACCCGTCGAGAACTTAGAGCTTGTCCCGCTGCGGGGAGATACCTGGTTGTGGAAAACCCCGCAAGCCGACGTCTCCGGCGACAAACTACAAATCAACTAACGGGGTTTTCTCCAACCAGGTATCTTCCAGCAGCAGGGCACCGCCCAGCCGGGACGGCAAGAATTGGTGCTGCAATGGAACGTATATGTAAATTATTTTTTAATTTTTAATTTTGTAGATTTCAAAAATTCAAGGAGTTTAATGAAAGTCACTCCTGCGCTATTGTTTTAAATCGTTTGTTATTCTATCCAATTCAAGAAAATGTCGGAGTGGTTTTCAAAAACGTTTTTTTATAATTTGCATTAATTTCAAGCACAAATGCACTAACTACATGTATTTAAAAAAATGTATATGCACATTTTTAAAGATACGAATTTTTAGAACCCGAATCCGAGTTTTTTTATATTAATAATATCAATTATTATGGATAAATTCCGTTCAATTTTGGCATCGGATATCGTGAACCTCTGTTGTAGTGATCCAAACAAGTTCAGTATAACTGGAGTCTACTGTATGACGTTTAGTTGATTACGATAGCAGCCACTGACCAGAACATCGATGCACGGTTGTCCGCAATGTTGAGACTCGAACGCTGGAACACGCTCGCCACATCGAGTCATTACGACGAATGTCAACATTCTACAGCAGCTGTATTGAGCAATTTATTGCGTTGCAATGACCGCGTGTTTTAAGTAATGAATGTTGTGGAGAGAGAAAGAATGACAAAAGTCAATACCATCAGACGATTAAAACTAGGTTTTAAATACACATTGTACTATTTTATTGCATGGTCAATGTTGTGGTGATGAGCCATTGTAAATTCACAGCAGGAAAACGAGGTTTGTGAATCTTCAGCTGCAAATCTGCTTCTGACGATGACACTGAACCTCACAGTCACAAACATATTGCAGAACACATCAATATTGTTGCTATTTTGTTAATAAAAATATCAAAATTATACTATCAGTCTTATTAGGGGTCTCTCTCTCTCTCTCTCTCTCTCTCTCTCTCTCTATATATATATATATATATATATATATATATATATATATATATATATGTGTGTGTCTTATTATTTGGGTGATCAATATTTAGCCTTTAGGTGGAAAATATTTATTTTTATGTGCTTAAAAAGAAAAAAATTGTATTAAAACAAAAAAAAAACATATAAAACCCAGTTACCAAATCCGGGCAAGTCTCGATGTAAAACGTGACATCATCCTCTTTATCACTCTGTCCTTTAGTCTGTGCAATCTGAGGACGGTTGGGAGCTACTCGTGTTATGAGCTCGGAGTGTCATTGCCTGAACTGACTGTAGTGTTAGAAATGTTTCACAGACGTTTTGACTGAGGAACTGTCGACTTAAGTCGAGACTCACTCGACTTAATCTTGGGCAGTAACATGTGATTTGTGGCCAACCACTTCTTTTTCGGGTGCAACAGTCCATAAGTGAACTTGGGGCTCTTTTGAAATTTCGTTCCATGTATCTCTTTCCCGTGCTTTCCTCCTCCAATTTTCACTCCTATGCGTTTCAGGTCTCCCTCAACACTATCCAGCCATCTTAGGGGTGCTTTTTCGACTCTGTGGGCGCTAACAGGTCGCGTAAACATCAATTCTTTACACACAGTTGCTTCCGGCAAGCAGCAGATGTAGCCAAGCCACCTTAGTTTAGCCAGTTTGGTTTCTTTAATAATATTGTTGCTATGGTATAACTCGTATATCTCCCTGTTGTGTCGGATTCTCCATTTGACACTGTCCTGCGCCGGTCCAAATATTATTTTCAAGATTTTTCTCTCAAACACACCTAGTATATTTATATCATTTTGATTTTAGGACATACATTCAGTGCCATTCATCACTACAGGTTTTAGCAAATTCTTGTGTAATTTTCAGCTTATATTTATGTCGTAGGGATCGCGAACGAAAGAGATCTTTTTGTTCAAAGTAGCTTCTTTTTGCCGTACTTTCACTTGCCTTAAATTTAGCTGTCGAAAAGTTATCATGCATCGGAAGTGTTCCAAGATATTTAAAGAAGTTTAAAGGAATATTATATACTTATTTCGATTGATTTCGTGTTAGTTTTCTTCTTGCTTTTTTCCATATATTGTGAGCAACCACAGCTTTCCAAATTTGTAGAAACTATATTTTTGACTATATGTTCAAAAACTCCACATTATTAAAATTGAAAATACTCAAAATATTCGTTTCTTCACATAAAATTGTATATATGTAATAATATTTGTTTAGACGAAAATATTTATTTTTATGCAACTTAAAATATTTATTTTAATGTGATATAAAGCTTAGTATGTGGAAACCATTGGGGGTTACTTGAATTTCCTCTTCACTTTCATCCCTCAAGATTAAAAGGACAAAATATGTATTTACCTAAACCTCCGAGCCTTACTATTATTTTCTATGCTCTCCCATATTCTTGTAATTATTTAATACGTCATTATTACACATATAAATTACAGTATCTAATCCTATGTGGCTAGGTGGAAGACCGTTAAGATGTTATAAACTCTACACAAACACACTCTTCATTTGGAATTCTGGTATTCATCCCAGATGTTTTCTACGTCGCGTCAAAGTCGAGGGAAAGACACCATTTTGTGCAGCTCACGAAAAAACACATAAGGGGGAATACCAGCTGCCAGAAGATGAGTACATTTTCATCTACCAAACTCCTAAACTTTTTTATTTCCTGGTGTGGACGTCACGTGTTGTCCGTCCCAACTTTGGCCTCCTCGGCTCGGTGAAATGAAACAGCGCCACAGAAGGTCATCCGCAACCCCAACTTCGCTCTTCTTGTACACCCACTCATGTACACCCGATCTGTAGAGATCTCGCATAAATATTAATTTACATACTGAATGATTTATTTACTTATTTATCTATTGATTTACTTATCTATTTATGGAGTTATTTATCTCTTTAGTGATTTACTTATTTTAATCTACATATTAACTTAATAACTCATTCATTATTTACTTATTTATTTTCTCTCCAGCGTAGGCTCCACTCGTACCATTAAACATTGTTTTTTTCACTTCCTTATTACCATTTCCCGAATGCTTCGATAGTTCTTTTCAATTTTCATAATTCGTTCATGAAGAGAGTCCTATTATCTTCTACTTTGTTCTGGGAAAACGTTACGTTTGTATGTCGGAAATAACAGTTAGACACTCCCATCCATTTTCTTCTCCATTACTCGGTGGTCCAGCAATTTAAAAGGACATGGATTAAAAGGACTTCTAGTAGGTACATTATTCAATTTTCCTGTATAAATTATACTCAAACATATTTTAACTTATTTATTTCACATGACTAAAATATCTGTTACTTGAATTACATCTCGAAAATCTCTCGTTTACAACTTCGGGTAAAATCTCTAAATTAATCTCTCTCATTACAATTAAATTTTAAAAAAATAGACGTTTCTTCTTCTTTAATACAATTTAAGTTCCAATATCAACCACTACAGCCCGAAGTACAAAATAAAAATAAAAGGAAATGAGTAAAAAGGTAAAATACATGAATGAAAAGTGAGAAACGCACCAGGAAATAATTGAAGATTGTATAACATGTAGAACCCCTTAAAGGTATGTGACTGGCTTAGGCCCATGGTTGTAAATTCTCTGCCATTCATACAATAATATATTTAAATTCTTTGCCATTTAGCCAAGAATGTGACTTGCTAAAGAATTGTCGTGCGTCATGCCAAAGTACAATCAGCCAATGAGAAATATGCAGAAATGACGTTGCAATTCCCACTGATTCGATTCCGGGGTCGATTATTTTCCTTCGTTCTCTGTTCGTCGACGGCAAAAACACCGCCCATGCGCTTCCGCAGTCGCGCATGGAACACTAAATCGCGCGAGCGCCCGAGGTTAACATAATGTTCTACTCACTCTGTTATGAATGCCTACATGAACTGTATATTGTAGAGAATAATGTAAAGAGGTCGAAGACGCAAAGAGTTCTTTTACCCCCCGCGTTACAAAGGCGTCGTGTCAGACGAATGGGTCCCCTTTGCCCTCACACCCGTTTCTGAATTAAATGTGTACAATTAATGTGTGACTAGGCAGTGAAATACACGTAACCTTGTGAGCGTGTCCATTTCCGGTATACACCATTTTAAGACGCGTAGTTCAGTAGACTGCGTTTGCAGTTACGCCAGTGATACTTTTGGAGCATTATTGACTAATATTATAAATAGTGAATACGAACTCCTTTACTTCCAGAATTTAAGATTTGTTACCTTCATGTAGTACTTCCAGTTAAACCAATGCTTTGCCGGTTGCAGCGCCAATCACAAGCCCTGTGGAGTGTCTCAGTGTGAAGGGGCCAGCTTACCGGGTCTTGAGCGTAGCCTCGTGTGAAGGCTTCCATTTATAACTGTACTTTTAGCGGTGGCTCATGCGAGAGAGTACCACTAAATGTCAAAGCAACAGCACTGCACAGCACGTGTGCATGCCTCTATTTAAAGCAATGCTTGCTCACCGAGACACCTATCAGAAGAGCTGCTAAGTGGCGCCATGTGAAGGGACCTCATGCGCCACGACAGCATGACAATGCCGTTCGTGAGAATACCTCAATTTAAAGCAATGCTTGCCAACGGATATGCCATGCGGAAGCACTGATGTGTGGTGCCGTATGAAGGGAACCTACGATACACAACGCGACTGTCTCATTCTTGTGAGTACTTCCATTTTAATCAAGGGTTTGAGGGCAGAAGCGTCACAACAGACTCCTGGTCGCTCGTGTGAATGCCTCCATTTAAACCAATACGTGACAGCAGACGCGCCACTCGGAAACGATGCTGAGTGACGGCACAAGAGACTTGGTCGCTCGTGTGAATGCCCTTATTTGAACCAATGCGTGGCCAGAAGGCAACTCGGATGACGTGGCCACTCGGAAGCGTTGCTGAGTGGCGCCACATAAAGACACTATAGGCCGCTCGTGTGAATGCCTTCATTTAAACCAATGCGTGACCAGCAGACGCGGAAGGCGACTGACCTGCAGGTGGCGGTGACCTCCTCGTCGGTGGCCGGCAGCGACGGCCCCGGGTGCGGCGGAGGCGCGTGCTGCAGGCACGAGTCCAGCGCCTCGCGGGCGTCGCACTCGGCACGCGCACGCCCCCCCAGCGCACCTGCAACACGCGCGCGCGCACACGCTAGTCAATTCAATCCTTCCAACAGTGAATCAAACACTAGGGTCACGCTGGCCTGCCCTCCAGCGCCCCTACACACACACACACACACACACACAATCACGCATACGCGCACACGCACGCACAAGTTAGTCAATTAGGGAATATGAGCCGTCGAAAACTTAAAAGGTACACTAGACCTAAGTACGCCTGGACAATGCCCCTGACAACACATACGTAAGGGGGTTACAAAGCAATTAAATCATTCTAAAACATTTGAACTAATACAAGGTCCGCGTATTAGCGCCCGTCAGCGCCCGTACACATACTCTTTCTCTCTCTCTCTCTCTCTCTCTCTCTCTCTCTCTCTCACACACACACACACACACACAAACACACACACACACACAAACACACACACACACAAACACACACACCAATGAAGCCTGACCAAAAACTCATGGAAGGCAATGGGAAACCACCCCGAATAAGTCATCCCAAGAAAACGCGTAATTAGGTTACATAATTTTCGAATATGGAAGATAGGGCAGAACAAGGTATATTAATATAAGCACATTGGTCACGCAAAGAAGAGTGAGATTGCCATTGTTGAAGATTATGAGGTAGAGAGTTTAAAGATAACATTTGTATATGCCCTATAAATATTTGTAACCTTCCCCAGAAAACACGACTTTCACACGAGGAACACGAGTTTTGTCGTCTATGTTTTGATTTTCTAATCTTAATACACACTAAAACATTTTTTATTAATCATTTAGATTATTATATTTATTATTTTCAGAGTTGGTCAGATGATGTTTGCGACAAGACTACTTGACCAGTGTTTTTATATTTGACTTTTTGTTATAATGCTTACTGAATGTTTATGATGTATTTTCAACGAATCTGCACACCAGAATTTTGAAAAAGGCCTCACGTAAGAACAACCAAGTAGTTAATAAAAATATTATAGTGTTAATTTATTAAGGTCAGAAAATCAATACAATTATGTACAAGATAACAGACGTCAATATATTCTTTACATTTTTTAGATCGATGCCCTAAACTACAAAGTAAGACTTTTTAGACGTTTTATTCCAAGCTTAACGTTTGAGAGAAAGATGCTTCACTTCGTATTTGCTTTTGCGTACGTGAAAAGGATAGTAATCATTCTTCTTTCGCATTTCCCCCTTAGGAGCTTTCTCCTTTCGCATCTCTAGGTGTAATGAATTGCTGTTCTCTTTCAATAACAAACAGATGGACTATGCCCTCGTTTATACCGACGCAGGGGACTAAAACTACAAATTTCAACACGACAATAAATGACAAACGCGAACGATCTGCAGTAAGCATGGGTCTCACTTTTATGCAGTAGGAAAAAAGAAAGGCTTGCGAAGAGCTGAATGAGCAACGCTCCAGATATTTCAATGATCTTCTGCTAATGCATTTGTAGGCAACGACAAGTTTCATGAATCCATTGCCATATTATAACTTGCAAAAGAAACAATTGAAATTAGAGGTGAGCGTGTCGATCAACAGCGGAAATAATGCGAGAGCCCAATTATAAATGAATCGTTCTAAACTACGTCGATATTCGCAAACGTCCTGAAAAAAAAAAGAAGTTGGTTGTGTTCGGTTGTGTTGGTTGTGGCGCGGAAATTGAATGGAACTGGCTTCACGGGCTCTCCGTGAGATGCTCCAATGCGTCGTCATCAGCGAGTGTTTCTTGACTTGGCCGCTGGGAGGCGCCCCTCGCTCGCATCGAGGGCGTTCCCCAGGGCGACAGATGGGGCCATTTGCGCCACGCGCGCTTCAGACGTTTGCGGCCGCGCGCTGCAATTAGCGGGAATGAGCTTTAAGCGGCAGCGGTCCTCACACGAGGGTAATGGAGGGACGATGTGGGGATTAAGGAAAACGCCCGGCCACCTGTGGAGTTTAACCACTTAATTGTGTCATTAGGCGCTGGATATTTTGCTACGAACTACTGAAAATGTTTCAGACTCTGTTTCTACCTTTGTAAGGCATTCATGTCCGACAATTACAGCATTATACGCTCGTGAAGGTGTAATGATACTCAGAAAGGACATCATGGGTTCTTCTTGCATAAGTATTCTTCCCTGGTCTGCTGATAGTCATTTAAAAATAATCCTTAAACTACGTATGTTTCAGATGTAAGTATAATGTAATTTTGTTCCCTGTGTGTAATATATTTTACATGTACTTCTGCACAAGTATTTTGAAAAAAATATTTCGCATCTAAATACTAAATATTCTATTTTTTTAAATGCCTCTGAATACATATTGCAATATTGGAAGATCTCTATGTAGAATTCTCTGAATAAAAATTGCGATACTTTGATTCACCAGTTTATCTTCGAAGATACCCCCCCCCCAAAAAAAAACCAAAAAAATATTGTTCTCTGAATTTTAAGACTTGGCCATAGGTACCATCACATATTCACAAAGTTGTATACACTTCACACGCACAGCTGTTTTATTCAAGTGAAGGGTTGTTGTTCACAATTCAAATTTAGATTAAATAAATCCAGTAGGTGTTAATATTTATCAGAGTTATATCTATTAAATTTCAAAATTATTTTTGATGAAAGTACGTACATTATTACACTTTTCATACGTGATTTTAAAATACGTGTGTGATTGGAAACTTTGTTTAAATTCTCATCAAAGAAGAGAAATCTATCTTGACCCTTACGAACGCGATGCCAACAACGAGAGGGCAAAAGTCAAAATGAATGTGACTGCGCGTGGCAGTCCAGACAAAGCCTACGCCTCAGTTTAGGTCAGAAAATAGGCTGAAATTGACTCACATCTCCAGCACGCGAAAGCCAGGGACCCCATCAATGTGTACGTGAAATATTGTTCTATTACGGAGTAGAGATTTTCTCTTTTCATTTTTTGAAGTATATTTAATATTTTCCACATTCACAATGTATGTATGAGTTGGATCAATTGTAGAACTTTCTCCGCTAGCCGTGTTCCCCATGCCTTGGCCTATTAAAATAACACGCTCGAAGGGGTAAAAAAACACCTGTGGAGAACATGAATTGCCTTCACCGTAACTGGCAAACTCCGTCTGCACGACCTCCTCTTCATCCCTCGGCTTCACAATCTGGGACGGTTTTGAAGGAAAGCTACAACTCTGTTTTGCCCCTGCTGGAAAACGACCCCGGGTCTGCGTCACCAAAGCTAGTGGGCTGCCACGAAGATATTCTAAGGTCTCACAGTCACAGAAAATGGAGAATAATAAATATAGCAATATCATAGCATTTTTTATCATGAAGAGAAAATAAGAGACATGTAATGTGAGGACCTTTCTTTAATGTTTGCCATCTCAAACTCTATTAAAGAAAATGCAGACTTTTTCCTATTAAAGTTTTCGTAATATGAAGTCACAGCTTTGAAAGTACAGAAGAGACAATTTACGCGATGCCCAGGAGCCAATTAATGTAATGCGAAACCATTTGCAAAGGCACAATCCTATGTTGACGAGAAAAGATAATTCTCCTAATAACTAATTAATAATTAGTTAGAAGTTCAATAACCGGGGCTCGGATTAGTTTTACTGGTGCATTCCAGACGTAGCTATCTTGTAAATGAATGTTTAACATATAGGTGATATAATTGTATAGCCATTGGGTCTTTTTTCAATATTTTTGCCATTTTCAACTTTTACGTCATTTTCCTAGACCTTTGCATCATTTTGGTCATTTTTATGCATTTTGTTTCCTTTTCGTGTTTTTTATTAGTGAATGTTTCATGAATATACAATGATACACTAAAACAAAGTGTTTATTGTATCAGGCATTCATAACGACATTCACTTCTTCAATGGACAGTTTGTTGAACTTTCAAAATTGCACGGATCTTCGATAACTTCCACGGAACTTTCAAAACTAAAGGTTGGAAAATTGAAGCTAAGGATTTCATTTCGTCCTCAAATAAAGACTATTAAATATAATATTACATAAATAAATTTTATTTAAAATTGTAAAATTTGTTGAATAAATAAACACTTTCATAAAATTTTTTTAATATTGAAAAAAAATGTTTTTATACCTTATTTTAATGTCATTTTCCTCTTATTTTAAGTTATTTTCAATTAATTTTTTATGTCACTAGACTACGAGCCTTATTAATAACGCAAGATCTCCTTTTACCATCTATTTGTGCTGAAAGGAAAGGAGGGGGATTACAATATCTCACGTGCTCACAAAAGCGTTCAGGAATGATGTGTTTTGTCTCACGTTCCTCACACTGAACATACTTTTTCGACTGCGTGTTCCTTCACTACCAACGCACTGAGATTCTGCACTACAAAAATGCTACAAATTCGTGAGATGCAATAAATAACAGAAAGAGACAACTGAAAAAAACGTATTTAAGAGTCTCAAGTGGTTCACAGTCGACGATTATTCCAAGATTTATGAGCGTGCATGCAGTTGAACTCCGAACAGCGCGACAGCGATGACAAATGACCAACGTTAATTCTGTAATGGCGTCTTGTGATTAATTGTATACCCTACTGAATTTCTGTTTCCTGTAAATTGATTTCGGAGCTCATGAATCCTTTGAGTAATTAGCCGAAATGAACGACTTTAATTCGCGATCAATACAGTGAGCAACGCCCAGTACATTGTAAAGGGTTTAGCATTTCTCATCAATCTCTATTTAGAGATACATTTAATTTCCGATCAAAATTTTATGGATCAATGTTCATTTCTTTTAGTTTCTGTTTCTTCTTCTTGTTCTTTTTCTTTTCGCACAGGAACCATTTATCACAAAACTATTTTTACTCTGTATTAGTTACACATGATTATGGATTATTTTAATGGAAAATAATGATTGTACGTTTCATTATAGAAAGTAACATTAGTTAAATTGGGAGAAATGCTGACTATTTTACGTTGCAATGAATTTTCAGTTATTTTCAGAGAGAATAGTGTGATTACCGTATTTTCTCGATTTTCTATCAGTAGATGACAATGCGCATCATTACCCCAAAAGTTTAAAATCACATCTATTCGCCCACCTAACGTTTTTTAATGTATTTTAAGTAAATAAGTATTGTGACTTAGAGCCTGCCCTATACGCTGATATCTACTCTTCAGAGGGGCCTGGCCTTGTTCCTGCTCTACACGCAGAAGCCTGTCGTACACAAGGGCCTGCCTTACATTGGAGTCTCCCAAATCAGGGGTCTGGCACAGTGTATGCATACTCGCAGAGACCTACTCTACACAGAAGACTGTCCTTGTTCCTGGTCTTCACACAGTGGCCAACCGTAGACAGGGGCATGTCCCACAGAGGAATCACCCCTAACCAGGGGTCTGGCACTGTGCCTGCCCTACACGCTGACACCTGCTCTACGCAGGGGCGTGTCCTTGTGCTTGCTCTACACACAGCGGCCTGCCGTACACAGGGGTTTGGCCTGCATAGGATCCTCCCCTTCACAGAAGACTTTTTCCCTCAGAAGCCGTTTCCGGACGGTTCAATAACATTCCGCCAGCGAGAATCTGAACAAAGCCCCCTGTCGTGACGGGTGCTCGCCGTTTTCGCTCTGCCACTAGACGTCGGGGGAGTCAGGAGGTTGAGTGGAAGAGAAATCTTTTTCACTGAGAAGACAATAGCGATGGGATAGACTTCCTTCCGCGGCGATGGTGATAAGAGCCCTTTACGAAAACAATCGTTGCAGAAGGGACCTGAGAAACAACACAATGAAAATAATACTCTTTAGATATGAACTGTCGGTCCTGAAAAGGTAACGAGTAAAAAAAAATTAAATGGACTTAAAAAAGGTATGCGCCTCATTAACACATATTTTTTGGTAATGAAATAAATACTAAATAAATGAATGTACATCTATGTTTAGATATTACTTTAAATTCGTAAAAAAATATTTAAAAACGTTACGCTGTCTACATTTTCAAACCAATTTGTACTGTTGATTCGAACGAGAGATGTTAAGGAGTTTGGAATTAATATTTTCAATAAGGTTTTAAAATAGAGATTTCACGGCAATGAATTTCAACAAATAAATAATATGTTATAGCAAAGTATGCAGAGAAAATGAAAATAATATCAACCAACACAGAATAACGGGGGAAAACTTGATTTTCGTTGATATTGATAAACTTCGGAGTTTACTCTATTGCATACTACCGTAGTGCACATACGAGTATCAAATGAAAATACTGTGCGTCAGGGAAGTCTCTCCGAACTGAGCCGAATCAGGGCCTCCTATTAAAAATTGCACGTATGTTGGTAGCAACCTGATTACTAGTAAACAAGTAAAGAGGACAACACTTCCAGCATCTGTAATGATTGTGGTGAGTACGCAATTTATGATTTATTTTCTTACAAGTTACAGCTCTCCCTGCCAACATAATAGCACACCAGCAAGCTGCTTCTGCGGAAAGACATTCCCGGAGTGTTATATCGCATGTATAACTTTGTTAACTGAAATTTCCCACTAAACGTTTCTTGGCAAACAGTGAATATTTTCGACACTTTCACTTGCCCTATTTATAACATTTATTCTGAGACATTGCGGATAAAAGTGCAGAGGTTCTAAAGGGGGTCGTTATCTATCCCCAGGCGGTCAAGAAAATTTTTCAGAAGATCACTGATGATCAAGGGATAGGGAGGTTAATAGCCGCCATGACACGGCACATCAGTATAATGAATAAGATCGTATACCACGGATTGATAACAAAAATATTAATGACTTTAAGAATTGTTTTTCTGCTATAGAGCAACAAAAATGCAGACCAAGGTTGTCCAACTGGCGGCCTGCGGGCCACATGTGGCCGGCGGTGCCATTTATTGTGGCACGCCGAAGGTTATTAGTGAAAAGTGAAAATCGCTTTTATCCATGTTGGGCGAGAATATTGTACACCTGGACAATATTCAGGGCACACGAACTGTGCAGGGGTCAATATCCTTCCTCTTAAAGTAAAAATTGGTTAAGTTTAGATTTATTCTTTCTAGTAAATTCGGAAATTCAAAACCATCCCAATGTGGTTCACTGCGTTATGGATGCTACAGCCTGATCTCACGCATGGTTCCACATACTCCCTTCCTCGTTTCAGAGCAGCCAGGCAAAGTGCCGAAATCAACCACACGGGGAAGTCAGATGTGGGACGTTCGAGTGATGAAAATATGTCCAGAAAGTTTTCGTTGAGGCCCTTGACGCATTGCAAGTTGGGCACCCCTAATAAAGACTAATAATAAATTACAAATTCGCCCCTTCGCTTTCGTATCCGTCGATCATCATAAGAAGTTAAGATGTTTACAAAAATCAATTTATAACTATGCATTCACAACAATACTCTACCACAAAAGAAAAAAATCGTAATACACACCGGGGAAGATAGTTCTTAAAAGAACACTAATCATTGTGTAAACATTGCATTTCAGTGAAGATTATAAACTCAACTATTCAACAGAGAAAGCGCATGAGGTTATTCAAAAATTAATATGAGTATATTAGTGTACAAAATGGATATCTATGAGGTATTTAAATGTCTACCGCTGTAGAGAAAACGTATAGTTACAAATTTCTTAACAGACGCCGGTGAAAGAAACTGTTTGGGAATCCTGCTGTAGTGCATCAATCGAAAACCTCCACAGATGTCTTTGCCGCGTAGCCTTCAATGCTCTCCAGCAAGGAAGCAACATCGATATCGATGTTTTGAAAACATCAATAGTTTTAGAGAAACATCGATATTTTAAACCTCGATGTATTACGGCCGATGTTTTAGCTTCAATGATTTTACGTGTTACGCTCGATGTTTTGTGAATGACAAATTGTTACAATCAATATTTTTTTAAAGTTAAAATATGAAACAATAACAATTGCTAGTTTATGTGTTCGATCCAAATCACCGGTGTTTGTACTTCCTTTCGTTGAGAAAACTCTCTCATCTGAGATTATCTCAAGGCTTTCGTATTTCCTAGCGTTTTCACGTATTTCGCACACTAGGAAGAGTTTTAAATCATTGTTTTCAATTAAATCTGAATTATAAATTAATAAACTAGGCCACTGACAATTTTGTATTAATTTTGTATTGTGTAATTGTATACTCATTTCAACATTTGTGTACTCATTTTGTCAATTTCAAGTTAGAAGTTACTAAACCTGTTTTAAAACGTGAATCTCTAAGAAATTCGATGTTTAAAAACATTGCTGGCTTGTGGTTGATGTATTATTACCATCTAAGTTTTAATTCTGAAGATCGATGTATGGAAACATGACCTTTTGTTATTGTTGTCGCATCAGCACCCTCCAGCAGACGTCTTGCTCTCCCGCAAATAACACACAAGTGGTTGCACATCTCGGGGTCGACTCCTGCGAGAATCGCAAAACAAGCTTAGTTGAAGTAACCCGTTCTGAACTGTCTTAGCAAGTTTCACGCGGTCGCGGGCTGGCTCTGCGGTTCCACATAGAGAAGCCCTCGAGGGGAATTGCGCCCGCCCGCCCGGAAGCCCAGATGCCCGCTGCTGCCCACATCGTTAGCAAAGGATTCCCCGGGGTGGAGAAGAGGCTTATGTGGCTCAGGGCATCAACATTGATGGCACTGCAGTGTCTCCAACTGGGAGGTCGTGCGCAAACAGTCCCGCCGGTGGCACGAGTTTTGACACTAGCTACATAGCTGCGTCAAATTCTGCCGCTGCCGGGAAGAGAATTCTAGCGGCACAGATGATCTGATTCCCGTGCTTTCTACGAACAACACCGGCGAATACCCTAACAAACAGACCAAAGACCGTGCGCGATCTCTCCTTCCTCTTCCTTGCTTTATGTTCGCTTGAGTTCCTATTACTGAGAATCAATTATAGACTAATAAATTCGGGCCCCCGACTGCAACAGTTTATCAATATTATGAATTTCTAAAGCAGTAAAATATTTTAACCTCTTATATTTATTCACAGTGACAGTTTATTATTATTATTATTATTATTATTATTATTATTATTATTATTATTATTATTATTTCACGATTTGTCCAAAATGAGACCATGGCATACGTGCACCCCACCGGGGTTGAATCATGATTATCGGGGTAAGTGAACGTTACGTGTCTTTTGGGAGAATCAGCACTTAATGCTGATTCCATTTTTACACCCGAAGGTTATAAGACCTGGGGAATATATGAAATGACGATGATTATGATGATCATGAATTAGATACACAAACATACAGAGATACACGTATTATTATTATTATTATTATTATTATTATTATTATTATTATTATTATTATTATTATCATTATTATTATCATTATTATTATCATTATTATTATCATTATTATTATTATTATCAATATTGTTTTTATTGTTATTGTTACAACCCGAACAGTGGAAGACGCACGGTCGCATGGTGATGTTTTTGCCGCTTAGACTGACTTGTGATGGAGGTTTCTTACGGCGAATTTAGCGTGAATGCGTTTGGGCCTCGAGAAGGAGTTACGCTTCCTCATGTGTAAATTTGTAGATAAGCAAACAATACTCGGTTTCTCGACATGCGGAGTCATTTACGTTTCCTACTTTTCGTCCCTGATCGAGAGGGTAGAGAGCTAAAGTATTCGTATTGGAATCACCTCTACAATACGATCAAAACTTTTTGGAAGGAAATTGAGGATTGAAAGTTCTGTTCAGTAACTATCAACGTACGTCAACGTCAAGACCTATTCGCGGTGAATTTCGAAAATGGCGTTGTCTACGTGGTTGGTTGCCCAGATGAATGTCTGTCTTTCTAGAAGTTGGGATGGATGTGACTTGCATATCTCTGTCAGATTAGAAGCTTTTGAGATCAAACTGATAAATATGCTATAAGGATACTTAGGGACAGTTCAAATAAATATTTATAGTTGTGCCGTTCCTAAAATAATTAATATATGTTAATTTTGGGGGGTACTTTACATGAGGCCCTAGCAGTTTAGCTCATTGTCCAGCGTGCTTGCTTTACATGTCGCGACGTTGGGTTCAATTCCCGGGCGCGCAATATTATAGAGTGCGTTTTCCTTGCAAATGTCTCAGTATGTGTTGCTGTGTGACGATGAGAAAACTCCCCTCTCAAGTGAAGAAGTCCAGAATAGGGCGCAGGGATGTCTTCGTGCTAACCACACGTACCCCTTAACCCATGGCCAGGACAGTGCTGATGGGCCCTGGCCACAGAGGTAGTAAGTACATCGCCCTGGCTCGTTCGCGGGCTTTCGGGTCAAGAATAGTAACAAAGACAGCATTTACATGAAGCTCATATGACACTTTCAACAGTTTCTGAAAACGTGTTGATAAACAAGCAAAACCTTTTCTGATCATTGAAATATTTTACTCGAATTGAGAAACGAACATTTATAAGAAAGGTATTTTTTCGATTTTTATTAAATCCTCTGGAAGTTACAAACTCGCAAGTGCCGAATTTAAAACAAGGGATAGCTATTCACAATGATGTTTGAACTTTCTACGCAACGAATTTCGTGATTTTTTCTTCAAATGAAAGGTAGTTGGTCCAGAAGTCTTATTCTTTGCCAGTAGTAACCAATTTTATAGTACAAACACTAAAATGTTTAAAAAAATCAAAATGAATCAAAATCTGTCATTATTTGTTTCAACAGTCGTTTGGTTGTGATAAGAACTTCAATAAGGATTTGGTCTACCAGGAACAACCATGTGTAATTATGAGGTCAGAGTTAGCGATG